ACTTCGATTTCATAAATACCAACCTGCTTTAAACACTCATACTGTTCTAGTTTCATTTATATGAGCTTAGGAATTTGGAGTTTTTCTTTTGTTTTATTTTTCTTTGTTTACTTTGTTTTTACAAAACTGAAGATTGAACACAAGGTTGCACAGGGAGTCTTTGTTTTATTTATTCAATCATTATTTTGACTCACTGTCTTGTTAAGTTTCTGTGTTACCCAGGATGGACTTGGACTTGTGATCCTCAGCCTCCCAGGGTGCTGGATTACAATTGTGTATCACCATGTCTGGCTCAGGTTTTCACTGCCATTGCATTTTTGCTATATTAATCTGTTAGCTGTAGTTTCTTTCTGATTTTCTTAATGGTTACTGTAAATTATAGGTTCCATCATATTGTAGTATAAATTAATACTTGCACACTTCCTCTACAACTTTATGGAAAATGAATATTCTAGATACCCCCTCCCAAATTTTGCAATTGTCATGTTCACATATTTTAATCACATGTATGTAAAAAATTTTTAATCATCATTGTGGCTATCTTTTGTGTATTTTTTTCTATTTTATTGGTATGTTTTACATACACATGATGATTACATTCACCATAGGGAATGTATACCTGTATATGATCTATCTAGCTGCTTCTTTTTTCCCATTCCCCTCCCCTCCCTTCAACCTGTCTTCCTCTGATTTACAAATGCTTTGTTTCCTTCTTTTTCTTCTTGTTTTTGTCCCTCGTTATTGTCATGTTCAATCCATATTTATGTCTGGTTTGTCAGTCATTCATTCCTGTACTTCAATATACTGTGATCACTTTCTTTCTACCTAAAGAATTTTCCTCACCCTTTGGTGGAAGTTTATTAGTAATAGATTCTACATACTTTTGTATACATGAAAACATATGTAATTCATCTATATTTTAGGGATATTTTTTCTGAATAAAGAAATTTTAGTTGCTGGTATTTTTTTCAATTATTTGAATTATTTGTTGATTCTATATGGATAATTTTATGATTCTTCTTGTGCATTTCCATTCTTTCATTATGTAGCATCTAGATGTCATGTACTTTCTATTTATTTTGTTTGGATTTCACATATTTTTTCAAGTTCATATTTTTTGCCAGTTTTTGAAAGTTAGTTATTGTTTTCACTGTTCCTTTCTGTCTTTCTCTATTCTACCTCCTCTGAAACTTTAATTCTTTGTATATAAAGCACCTTTCCTTATACACTGAATGCTTTCTATGCTCTTTGGATGTTTTTCATACACTCTCATGCTTCAGTTTAGGTATTGGCTGTTAATAATGGTTTTAACAAAAGAGAGAAAAGGGTTTAAATTTACTAATACTCTTTCTGCTCTGTCTAATGCAGTTAAAAGCTCTATTGCATTTGTTTTCTTAGAGACTTAAATATTCAGCTCTAGCATTATTCATTTATACCTTATTGATAGATACCAGTCCTCTGGATATAATTCTTATTTTCATCTATTTTTCCATTTCTTGGTCTATTGTCTCTTGCCTCGTGTATAGGGTGATTTTAATTTATTTTTTAATTCCAACATTTGGATCAAGTGTGTCTCTTTTTAATTATTTTTCTTTTGGTTGTTGGTATCTTTAATCACTTTTTAAATTAAATGCTATAATTATGGGTTTTAAAATCTGTACTGTTGTATTTCTCTAGGAATGGCTCCTCTCTTTTCTGGACAGATAGAGTAATAGTCAATGATTACAATCTAATTAGTAATAAAGTTGAGACTGGATAGCAATTTTCATAGGTTTCTGGTACGTTTTGTTTACACTTACTCCAATGTGAACATATCCAGAATTTTCAGGTGCAATCTTAGTATGTCCATCAGGGCCTCTGTCCGGAAAGTCCCAAACTGTACCGCTGAGGACAGGACAAGGACACAGACAAAAACTCTGCTCTCATTTTCAAACTCTCAACCTAGCATTCAGCTAGTTTTGAAAAGATTAAGAATTGGATAAACAATTTGAGTGGAAAACTGGGTGCGTTTTTGAGTAAATTTTCCCCTCACCTTTCTCACTGAGATCCTGTCTCCACGCATTTTCAGCTTATCTCCCCCGTCAGAAGATAGTGCTAAAAGTTCTACTGGGTCTTTTTTTTCCCCTCTATCTAGGAAAACCCTAACTTCTCCAACTGATGTAATAAGCTTACTATCAGAAGAAGGCTACAGAGCAAACACAGCAAGCGCCTGACTTCACTTCCATTATTCCATTTCAAAAATCGTGCCCTTTTATCCTTTCAGTACATTTATCATGCCTTTAAAAAATTTTAATGGTATATAGAGAATTTGAATGTTTTCTCAGAATAATTTTGGTTTATAGCAAGCGATTTCTCCTTACTTAAAAAATGAAAACTCTTGTTTTGCTTTCCTTTTCTGAGATTTTAACCTTAGTCATACAGAAGATTTAAGTTACTTTGTTTCTTGTCTGTTTGCTTACATTTGTAACTAAATTTGTCCTTTACTAAGTTGTATTCCATCTGTACTAATATTCCAATTTATAAGGAAGAAGTTTTGTTTTTTTTTAAATTTTTGGAATCAGGTAAAAGCTGATCTGTATTTAATGGCAATATTACATGTATGACTAGTAAGTTTGTTTTTGTAGGCACATTTATAAAATTATCATAGTAAGTAAAAATTACAGCTGGATGAATTCTTAACTGTTAGTTATTTTGATCAAGCAAAAGACATGCTGATTCCTGAGGCAGTAACTATTTTATAATTGACTGCTAAATGCAAAGCTTTTACATTTGACCTTAACAAAAATGTAAAGCATAGCCCCGAGAAGTATCAGTTTTAAATTTAGGAATACTAAAAACCATTCAGTAATTTATCAAGTAATGTTATATTCTATGCATTCATAAAAATCTAACTACAGATTCAACTGAGAATTGACAGTACCTTGCATAAGTAATAAATAACTTCTGTTGTACTTCATGCACCAAAATCAATACTTTGTAATGAGGCATTAAATACATAGTAAGATGACAGAATTCAAGATATCACATTCTTTGGTTTTATTTTCTTTCTGTAAATCTACTCTTATCTACACTGGGTTTTAAAATTTAATTAAAATGTATTTTTTTTCTTATTTAAAGTAGTGAGCCAACAGTTTATTGTAGATTTAGATATACAAAGACTACATTCACCATGAATTAGCTTTTTAAAATTTAAAATGTTTCATTTGGTTTCTCATATGTGGATTTCAGTGTTAATGCATTTGTTCCCATAATTCTGCACATAAATCAGTATATTTTATAGGTAAGACCAAAAAGACATTGAAAAAAATGACATCTTAAAAGTGTTTGAATTTGAAGGGAAAACTAGATACATAAATCAAATATATAAGCACACTTTTCTAGTGTTACATTAAATCTAAAATAAATGTTCTACTATGTAAATGAGACAAAAACTGGGTTTGGGAATTTATTTCAGTGGCATAAGCGCCTGCCTTGCAAGCACAGGGTCGTGAGTTCGATCCCCCGTATCAATAAAAGAGAGAGAGAGAGAGAGAGAGAGAGAGAGAAACTTCTGTGCAATACCCCCAAGAATAACAAATAAATATTTAAATAACAAGGTTATAAAACACCATTCTTTCTTCATTTAGTACAACATGTGTTCTCATATAAAATATTATTTTAATAGCATTCTGTTATCAGATTCACTGTTAAAGGTAAGAACCATGAGCCTTTAGCTCCTTACTATTATTTTAGATTTAAGAGTAGATATGCTAGAAAACATCAAATTAAAATGTCTTATATACAAAGATCTACAAAAGATAAATGGGACATATTAAACCCAAATAACCATACAGAAATTTTTCCAAGGAAATGGTAAAACCTGGTATAACTATTTTTTAATAAAAAATGTCATGTAGTTTTAAAATATGAAGAGTAAGAGATTAGGGAAGGAAGAATGAGACAGAGAGAAGGTTCTCTGGGAAACATTCATGAGGAGATGCATTTGGACAAGAACCTTTGCATGTCTTACACACTTTGGAGTAAGAGTGAGATATACCAGGTGACCATGAGAATATGTCTTCCAAATCTGCAAAGAGTTTCAACTACTGCATTGTAGTTTGTATAAAGGACACACCCAACTAGAGGTCCTCCCTGGCAGTGACTGGATCAGGCAGTGTTGTTAACAAGAACCCATTTTTAAGACACATAGGACTCGTCAGAGCCAATAGTGGGTGAAGGACTCTACCATGGTTTTGCCAGACCTCCTTCTGACCACACAGCAGTGTCTTCAACCTAAATCTTTAACCTATCCTCTTCTCAGAATTAGTCTGAAATCGATTCTGAACGTTCTACTAGGTTCCACGGATATATTCTATTTTATTTGGTACACATTTTAGCAGATAACATTCTTTTAAGTTCCCAAAGGACCTTCACAGATGAAAGGGGGCAACTTCTAACTACAGAACTAGGCAATAATATATTTCCTGTAATTAGAAGACATGAAGCATAGGATTTTGTTCCCCCGTGACTCGATACAGTAGACGGTGGCCCATGTCTCAAGGAGGTGTGGCTTGACAGCAAACCAGGAAAGTGCAACTGCATTGAAATCGTGTAGTTCCAAAATTGCCAGTAGCATGCACAAGAGCACACTTTCCTTGAAGATGTTCTGTTACACAAAAAGTGGTATCGTGTCATCTCAGGTCTTGCAAAAAAAAAAAAAAAGAAAAAGAAAAAAAAAAAAGAACTAAGAGAAACCAAAATCTCAAAAAAGAACATGGAGAGAGCTAGAGTTGACCCCTAAAAGTCAGTGGGTGGGATAAAGAGAATAGATTTGTTGCATTTAAAAAATGAGTAAGTAAATGAATTAAGAAATTCCACTGGAGCCGTGAGGCTTCCAGCAAAATATCTAGTGAGTCTATGGAAGGAGGTGCGAAAATGAAAGTGTCATTTAAAACGTTTATGGCCAGCTAAGCAAGAGTCATCACATCACTTTAACTGTTATAATCCTCTCTTCTCTCCAGATCCCTGGACAGAAGGCACCAGCAAGAAGTGGGAGAAGTTCACTGGTAAAAAGTAGAGAACTTAGTTCAATTGTCATTCTCTTCATTTACTGGAGTCTTGGAGGTTGGAATAGGAATGAGGAGGGCAAACTTACATGTTCTACAAAAATCAAGCTTGGAATTTCAAATGCTACTTTGAGTTGAAAATGCTATTTGGTGAACTGGATAATTATGTCCCAGCCCAAGTATCTGAAACACTATTAGCTAACCATAAGCAGAAATATAATATTTTATTAATCTTTATCAACGGTTAACAAAACCATAAGAAACTTATAGCTATTAATTTATGAATCATTAGAATAAAATTCACATAAGGTGATCATAAGGACTAATTAGTATTTTTCACACAACTTGAAAACTGTGTATTTCTATTGTCATTATTACTGTAGAAATTATTGTGATTATATGTAGTATATGTAAACATATTCATGTATTTATTATAACTTACTATTATAAATTGCTGCCAAATGAGTATTATCAAACATATTAAAATTGTTATTTCACCACAGTTGTGTATTCCATTTTCAATTGAAAGTAGAGTAAAAATAAGGCACAGTGAGACCACTAGGAAAAAGAGAATATCTCTGTATTTGGGTTTAGCGTAAAATGAAATAATAGTACTAAAAGATTTTGTCTTGAATATTTAGCCAAAGGCATGAACTACAGGCACTTTGAGCACATTTTTTTCTAACAATTATGTATCTATAAACAAAAATACAAGCAATGAATGCAAACTAGATCTTAATGAGCAGCAAGAATCCCAGACATGAAAAAAAAAAAAAAAAAAAGGCCAAGACAGCCACTAATGATGCTACAATTGACACTGTGAGCTGTTCACATTTGGATAACAACCACATGAATCATGAGCTAACAAAGTTTCATTGCTTTCATCATCAAATTAAACCATTTTTGCTAATGTTTTGTGATGCCAATCTATAAAGTTTGCTTTGATTCTTCATTTCTATTCTTCTACCAAATCATGATTCGGAGGTTAAAAATGAGTCAGACTTTCACTTCTTGCCTGGAAGCTAACATATTCTTCTAATGGATAATTTATTGCAAAACAAAACACAGTACTTTATGAGTTTGAAGCTAAACCAAAAGTGAAAAAACTGTGGTGTCTTTTTAAATAGTTTGGGTTTTACAGGAGTGATATTTCTTTTTTATTTATATGTGCACAGTCAGTACATGAAGTTAATAATTTTGCTTTCTATTCCCATCCAATAGACAGGCGAGGCCAATGCATATTCAGCTATAGTTCAGTGTGTCTATTTCTAGAATGTATTAAAAATTTTTTCAATGAAAAATTTTAAGAAAAAATAATTTGTTAAAATTTCATATATATAGTGTATATAGTGTTTTTGGTTGCCTCATTTATATCAGTAAAATATTGTGCTGTAATATGGTAAGGAGGATATTTTTCCCAAGATGATAATTCCAACTTTGGGCTAATTTTAAAGTTTTCATTTTGACTAACATAGTTCTCTCTCTCTCTCTCTCTCTCTCTCTCTCTCTCTCTCTCTGTCTCTCTCTCTCTCTCTCTCTCTCTCTCTCTCTCTCTCTCTCTCTCGTGTGTGTGTGTGTGTGTGTGTGTGTGTGTGTGTGTGTGTTTGGTACTGGGGATCAAACTTGTAACCTCGTGATTGCCAGGCAGGCACTGATACCACTGAGCTAAATCTCCAGCCCTATTAATATAGTTTTGGTCATAGGTAAATAAAGGGTTCCTCTCATTTGATTTTCAAAATTTTGTGACAGAAATTATCACTACCACTAAGTCATCTTGGAGCGGGAAAAATAAAAGACAATCCTAAATTAAAACCATTTATTTGATTTTTTTTTGTTGCTGTTTTCAGTCCATTTGTCTATAGTGTTAGAATACAGCCTTTTAGTTTTTTATTGGATTCTGAGCATCCTTTGCCCTAAAGCAGTGAGAAAATTCTAAATAAAGAAAACTTTGTAAACTCGATTTCTGTGGCAAGAAGGATAAGAAAAATTGTTGAATGTACAAATGTCATAATAATAAAATCACTTCACCATGAAAATTTATTCTATACAGAATGTATAATGTAACAAAATAATATATATATCATTATTATAAAGTAAGAATTACCTGAAAGTAAAATCCTAAATTGAAGTAAAAAATCCTAAAACATACTAAAAAAAGAGAAATCTGAAAAGTTATAAATTTTTATATCTATAACAATTCAACAAATGTGATTTAATATTCTATATTTACTTAGCATTTAGATTGTTACGCCTTCTTCATTGTTTCCACATTGTATATAGAATAATTGACTTTTCCCCCGCTGATCGCATTGTTGTTCCTGTCATTTACTTGCTAATTCATAGAGAGTTTACTATATAAATAATGGAAAATTTCTACAGTCGAGTGCCAGCGTTTATTTTTAAATGACTAATTTTATAAATTTTTAAATAGCCATTACTAGTTATCTTTACTTATCTTTTTACTAAAATATTTCTAAATTTTTCTCATTTTATCTCTTTTCATAAACTTCAGAAATTGTTCAAATTTTATTTCAAAGATAGTTTCTTTAGCATTATATTAATTCAGATTTACTTAGAGAAAAATTTGAACTTTTTAAATTTATTGGTTTTTAATTTTTATTTATTTCAGCTGAATTTGTGTCTCTCAAAGATATTTAAAATTTGTGTGCATGCCTATTTAAAATATATTTTATAAATTCATATAAATATGAAATAAGTTTTAGACATGTTATCTTTTGTTTTGTTATTATAAATGTTTTGGTTTGACAATTTTTATTGTGTTTGCTTGCTATATGCTCCACTTTTCACTCTTAACATTTAGACCTACTTTTTTTCTAAAAATAGAAAAGTATTTATTATTCTATCTTTTTTATTGCTTCCTTCTGTCTGTGTCTACCATGTTCTCTTCTTCATAAATGAAAGTTATAATGATCAGCTTCTTTTTTCTTTTATTCTAGAGATTTTAGTGCATGAGGAAAGTGTCTACCACCGAAGTGTCACAGAGCCCTGTGTGTCGACTCAATTACTTAAGCTCCAAATCACATAGTTATTCTCAAGTAGGTAACTGTGTGCATTACACAAACAGCAGTTTTCTCAATCTTTCTTCCACTGATTCCTGCTGTAGTTTCTGTTACCATTTTAGGTTTTGCACTGCTATTTTTCTAAATTCAATTTAATAGATGTATGTTTCTTTGTATGATTTTCATTGTCTGTAATTCCATGCTTACTTTAATTGCCTTGAGTGTGAATGGTATCCTAGTATTCCCCAACACCCTGGAATCCGTTTTACTCTGAGGTGCGCTGTCTGTCTTTTGAATATATAATTATTATTTATGTTAATAAAAACTATTAAAAAATGCATTAGTTTGTAGGTTTGCTTTCATTATTGCTGTTACTCATCTGTTTACTTTTAACCATGTTCTGTTTTTGTCTTTTTTCTTCTCTAAATAGTGATTGTCCTCTGTTCCTCTTTTTATTTATCAAAATATTCTTGGAACTTTTTCTTTAAAACATAAATTTAGACATTAAACATTGATTTTTATGTTAGTCATTAATCTTTTCAGCTGTTAAAAAGGAAATTAGAGGCATGGGCTTAGTCAAGAAATATTGCTCTTTCTTTGAGCAATTTGCGTGTGATTTTTCCTGTTGTTTCGAACAGTGGTAAAATTTTTAGGGGGTCTTTGGCTAATTGTATAAAGGAAAAAGTTTGTGAAAACTTCTTTGATTCTCTGAATTTGTGTTGAATGTGAGCAGTCCCACCACTGAGATCCACTGGCACTTAGGAAAACTTTCTTGTTCCTTGTGAAACTAACACTACTGGGTGAGAATTTCCCATATTTCTAAAGCATCTCGTGTTCCATTGATTTTGATAAACTAGAGTATAACACATTATAAAGATGATTTTATAAGAATTTTTGAAAATTGATTCTTCCAAATAACCTATCCTGTCAAATGAAGGAGATCAAACTTCTAGTATTGTCTTCCAATTTGGTCTCAATCTTATTACATTTGTTCAAAATTTTAAAATATATAGTACTAGTTTTAAATTTCTCCAAATCTTATTAGTGACATAATATTACATGGAACAAAGCATAGATTTATAGGTGAAAAAATAAATTAAAATCTAAATCAAAGTTACACTTTTTCTTGCTGTGAGATTACTTAATACTGCTTGAAAAGTAAAGATATTACAATAAGAAATTGTGGCATGCTATTTTATGTCATTGACTGAATGAATATTTAATCATAAGAATGTGAAGTATCTTTTGACATTAAGTAAATGCAGAGCAAACTTTATCATCCAGTATGCTTCATTTTGAAATACTTAAAATGTTTATGAAAATTAGAGTGCTTTCTTTTTATGAGTGCTTTCTTATCAGAATTTCCTTCCAAACTAAAACTTGATTTTTGAGAAAGCAAGTCTACTTTTATGTGTGCTTGTCTCAGAGCAGAATCATTTTTAAAAGGACCACAGATAGATAAATTGGTCCAAATGAGTTCATCAGAGGAAAGCCTGCCTAACTAACATCTTCTACGTTTATTTCATATAAATTGAACTTCTAATGATGCAAATGTGCAACACCTCCATTAGAGATTATTATTTTAGAGATTTATTAGAGATTATATTTTAAAATATATTGTCTTTAAAAATGATGTATTCTGGTATTAATTTGCAAATCTTTTCTCCATTCTGTAGGTTGTTTCCTCACTGCTGACTGTTTCTCCTGTTGTGCTGTAGCTTTTTATTTTGTTGTCATTCCATTTGTCAATCTTGTTTTGATTTCCTTTGGCCTTCTTCAAAAAAATTTTGCCAACTTCTATGTAATGAAGATTTCCTCTATATTTTTTTCTGATGGTCTCATGGTTTCTTACATCTTAATGTTCTTAATTTTGAGTTGCTTTTCATATTTGGTGAGAGCTAGGCATCTAATCTCTTGGTGTGTAAACTTGCATTATCCCCAGTACCTTTTAGAGAAGAAACTGTCTTCCCCCAATACATCACTGACC